TGGATAACATATCACATAAAGTAGTGTTGATGTCTGACAACTCACAAGCTAAATATTGTTATTAATCAAGATAATTAGAGTCTCATAGCGACTTTTTTTTTTTTGAACTTTTCTCATAGCGACTTTAACAGCATCATTAAGCTCCTCAACATCTTTGAGCATTTAACGTCGAGCCTTAGACCAAATTTTGCTGCATAATTTATGCTACAATTGTGCCTTTGTCTAGTCTGACTCTGGCATACACATACAAATATCGATTACCAATACATACCCACTATTTTAAAATATATAAATTTTCAATTCAGCATGATTTATTTTAAACTAAAAAACATGAACAACTTATAAATGCACACAATTTTTTATGTCCTAGCTACTTCGTTTAGAAATGGAAGTCCATGATTTGTTTCTTTATTGATTTACTAACCATACATATCAATTGACCAAATATAAAGGAAAATAACTCCAAATTTAATTATAAGTATAAGTGAAAATCATCTATAGCAAAGAAAAATTCATATATATTATATTATTATTTTTTTATTCCACATACGCATTCTACCACATTTAGTTTTGAATCACATCCCTGATACGATCGATAACAACCCTGATAGAGATCATAAATCCTTATCACATATAATCACATCTATGCATAAGATATATAATGGATCATTAACTTAATTAATTATTAGTTATTATCATAATCATATAATCAAAATGATCAATAGGGACGCGTATTCGCATCACCCAATGGCATAGGATAATAATCACAAACAATATAAATCAACTCATTATCATGACACCGAAACGAGCCACAACCGAGAGCGGTCGATTGATTGGCCACAATCTGAGTATAGTGCCCACAAGTATCTTTGCACTGGTTGGTTTCATGATCGTAATTAGGCTTCTCCGTCAACCAATACTTAGTCGCGATCGGACCACTCATTTGGTCAGTAGGTTGGACCCACCCTGCCGCGATATTTTCGCCATAGGGTCCATCAGAATGTCTCATCTGGTCGTACGAACAAACTCCGGCTTCGGCTTGTTCGTCTGCGAAGTTCTGTGCATAGTCCGCTACGGTTTCGTTCCACACCAATGGAGCCACCCCGACCGCAGCTCTAATCTCGTTGTGAATCCTTAGCGTTTCCTCCGGTTGGACATCATCGATTGGCTCTACATCTGGTAAGCCATAGGCTTGAGTTAAGAAGATAGAGAATATTGTTAGTACGACGAAGTTATAACCAGAAAGCGACATTCTTCTTTCTTTCTTTTTCGCAAAATTGTTTGGGACCTTCTTGTTGTGATCTCTATTCTGGTTTGTGTTTCCTCCTTTTGTAAGCCTCGGAATAAAAAAAAAAGAGGCTATGCATGTAGCTATCTTTGGGATTATAAAATTACCTAAGTTGCTTTGGTGGGATACGAACGAATTTGGAAGGTTTGAATTTCCATTAAATCATTAATTAGCAAATATCATATAATTAGTTATAGGAATCCCTTAAAATAGCATAATTCAGGATAAAATTCTAGTTGTAGTATAAAATATTGAATTTCAGATTTAACAAAATACATATATAGTTAATCAATAAAAGTTATCCCAAGTTTGATAGCAAAAAAATATATTCAAGAGTTATAAATGCATTTCTACCTTTGGCTTTACAGATAGATAAAAAAAAATTGAGATGAATACCTAAAACTATATAGAATCTATGACTTAAGCATTAAATCTTCAATTTCATAATCAACTAAATACAAATATAGTCAATCAATAAAAGTAATCTTAAATTTGATACCAAAAAAAAAAAAGAGTTTAAATGCATTTCTATGACTTTATAGATGAATTCCCAAAAATTTATAGATATTTATTGTTTTATTTGCGTTTTTATTTTCTTCAAAATGGGGAAGGTTTATCAATAAATAAATTTATATAAGACTTAAAAGGTAATTAATATAGAAGAAAAAAATTAACCTATAAGTTGGCAATACGTGATTCATCTAAGCAGCAAAGGCTTTGAGAATTTAAAGGCCACACAAGCAAAAAAATTTTGGGCCAGTAATTGTTTTTTTAAAAGGAAAAAAAATTAAAAAAATGAACAAATGGTGAATCGAACCCTGCACCTCTTCTTTCCTTAACGTGGCCGATGAACCAACTAAACTAAAGAAACTTTTTACTTACTTCTGGGCCGATAATATACATAAACAAAACATCAAAAATTTTGGACCGCAAACATGAACTTGGCCCGCTTACCCTCAGGGTCGGCCCTGCATCTAAGTTAAATTGTATATGTTGTTGCAAAATTGTTTAGAGTATCGTATAATAGGTAATATTCTCATATTTTGTTAAAGATTGTTTTTAAATTTTTTTAAGAAATGACACTTTTCAAATGACAATTTTTAAAAATGCCACATTTTCAAAATGTTGCGAAAATGCCATTTTTCAAAATTATTTTTTTATTATATCATTTATTTTTGGATTAACTATGTTATTTTAGGGTTTAGTTTTGAGGGTTTAAGGGGTTTTAGGGGTCAAAACATTTTGAGAAATTTCAAAAATTGCCACTTTTCAAGTGCCACTTTACAAAAATGCCACATTTTTGAAATTTTTACAAAAATACTACTTTTTCAAAAAAAAAAA